AGCTCTATTTTATCCCAAACCAGGACAGTGTTTTTCCTCAAAATATCTTTATAGTGCAAGAGGTTATCTCCATGTATATCTTCTGTGGCCACTGAAAGATACCAATCACAATACTGATAGGTGAGCTGAAAAGCTGGGTGGTTCAGATTCTAGATGCAAGAGCAGAGGAGCAAAATTATCTACATCTTCAGTTCAGAGATGGCTCTGGCTCACCACAACAGCATTATCAAGACAGTACAGGCAGAAAAAACAGATTTCTAAAAGAATCTGTTAGAAGCTGATAGTGCCTTACGGGTGTTTTAAAGCATAGGTACATTTATATCTATGCATTTTGAAACATGTAATTTGGGTGATTCATCTTTCTGTTTGAGGCTGAGAACTTACATAGAACAGTTGGTAAAATGCTTTCTGTTGCCTTTTTATTTTTTTTTTTTGTATCTACTCCCCTGCTACTTGTTCCAGAACCTTGTTATCACCCCAATGGAACCCGTAGGTTGTGATAAGCTAGAGTGGAGAGAGGTGTGATGACAATGGAGTAAGAGGAATAGTTAGTGGAAAAAGTGAATGAAGAAAGGGTAATCAGTAGTTCAGGTAAATAGTTTTAAAGCCTGTAAATTTTTGCCATAGGCATTTTTAACACCAAAGGGTTAAGAAGAAAATAGAGCAGATGGAGAGAGGCTCCTTGCTTAAGATGGTGGTAGAGAGCTGTGCTGCTTGTTTAAATCCTGTGTGCTGTTCTGTTGCAGTTCAGCAAATGTTTACCAATACTGCTCTTCTGTGCAACTGTTTCTGCCAGGCTGCTGATAGAGCTGTAGTCTGCTGCAGACTGATCCTGCTTGCCTTTAGCAGGCTCCAGAATTACACATTTACACAGTGATTGCAACTCTGCCCAACCCCTGGAAGCCCACCTTCTTACGTCCCATGGTATATATAGGTCCTTGGGCTTCTGTACCGTTGTTCCTGGGCAAGTGCTGCTTTTTGCAAAACTGTAGTTGAGTGCTTTTCACTGGCAGCAGGTAGTAAGAACATTATTTGCAGCCTTATCCCTTAAAACAAACACATGCAAAACCCATCACCTCAGCTTTCTGTTAAAACCCCTCAGTTAGATTCTGCACTAGGTCTTGTAGGCATCTCCTACCTCTCCCCTGGCCTTGCTTGACATTATCTTGCAACATGCCCATATCTGCTGTTTCTAGAGTGGAGGGACAGGCACCAGCTGAAGAGTCAAACCCTGGATACCTCCAGGGGCCCAGACAAGCCTAAGTGACACAGATGCTCCAGTGTCCACCTGCTTACAGGAGGAAGCAGTACACTGAGCTCTGGACCAACACAAACAGCAAGGTGATGTACATAACCTCTGCTCAACCTTGCTGAAATCTGTCTGGTTCCAGGTAGTGGTCCTGAGCAGAGCATTCACTATTTTACCTTTATCTTTCCTAAAAAAACCTACAGATATGGAAATTAACACTGAATAGGCAACCATGGTAACTTTCACTTAGAAAAATCCCAAAGTAAACGAGTGAAGTGCAGCTTTCCTTAGTGTTGAGAAAAGGTTAGTTCTTAACAGAGCTAAAAACCCTTTCGTTAAAATACAAAGAAAAAAAAAAGAGAAGAGCTGCTAAACACATGCTTTTACACAAAAATGTGAAAGCATAGCGGTTAAGGCTATGTATTTTGTAATACAAATATTAACAAAACTGAAAAAGTCTCTTAGACTGATTGCTGTCAATTTTCTTTGGCAGATGATATTCTAACAAGAATTTGACAGGCTGATATTTCAGGGTGGACTCTACAAGAACTTGGGCAACTCTGGCACAATAGTCCCATAGGAACCACTCTACACACCAGCGTTTACAGAGATTTTGTTGAAGACCTCAAGACTGGCAAAGCACAACTGAATTAATTTCTGGAGCAAAGCTTCCTGTGATGACAGCAGAGTAAGAAATAAGTATTGTACATAACTAGAATTTCAGATCTTGCTTAATATTCTAGCAAGAAACACAAAATAGTGTAATAGCTTTTACATTTTAGGATGATAAAGATTTACTTTTATTTACTTTTCTGAAATGGAAAACTGTGATTTGAAATTAACAAATACCAAAAGAAAAGTTCACTTTTCTACAGTGAGGATGGGATTAGGACAAACATTAATTTTAGACATGCCATTACCTACCTCCACAGTGAGTGGAAGAAGTCTAGCTGGCAATAATGCCACTGAAGTCCAAGAGGCTGCGTCAATTTGTAATAGATTGTAACATCAATGTGCATGTCTTGCTGCAACCATGTAAAAAGTTTGTTTCTCAACCAGTCTAACTACTAACAGTTGTTAATGAATATGGCTTTTAAATTTATTTAACCTCAGGAAGAATAAACTTCTTGTGAGAGCCACTGCATACAGAGGCTTTTGAAAATATCTCGCTCTCAATCCTAAAGGTAGTTTATGCTGCAAGTATAATTAATCTAGATGGGATACAAGCCAGTTACAAGTTTTCCTGAGGCACAAAGTTTTAATAGAAAAGAAACCTCAGAGGTAGGGGAAGGAACAGAAGTATGTAAAGGAGATAATTAGGCCAGAACAGCAGAAAGTAAGCTCACACAGTAAGGGGCTTTCCAAGAGATTAAACCTCTGAGTTCATGCTTAAATAAATCAAATGATTTGTGATTCTGAAGGACCACAAAAAGGATCACTTGCTTTTCTGTTGACCAAATTACAATTTAGATGTCAATTTAGAATCCAAAGAAATAGTGTGCAAAGAACTATGGACAAGAGTGTTACCTTGATATTAGAGAAGTTTCAGAACTAACAAATTTGTCTTTAGAACAAGTATTTGAAAAAAAACGTAGGGCTCCATGATTAGTTAACTAAATGGCTATGGGAATTTTTGCATGTGTTAAAGTAAGTCCATGCTGTATATTTTCAGCACAGCTGAAGATGCTGGGGACAAACATGATAATGTAGACTTCATCTTCCCAGTTACACTACTGTGAGTTCACTTGTAAGTTACTATCAATATCCAACATTTGGCAGGTACCTGATGCAGGCCAAACACTTAGAAGTAGGCACAGACTACATGAATATGTACTTCACAGTGATGGTGATGCATTGTGCAATCCTAAGTTTAGAGCTGCTGGTGTTAGACCTCCTTCACACTGGGCTACAGGAAACAAGGAGTCCAGTTTCCTCTTTCTCCTGCCCTTCTGTATGAGATACATCCTCTTCTCTGGAATAATTTACCTTTGTTTCAGAACAGCTTGAAACCTGACTTCTTCAAAACCTAGATTTCTGAAGTTGTATTGTGTCTGTTTTCTTTCAGTACACGCCTAGACTTCTAAATAATCAAAATATCCTGAGATATTTGAAAAGACATATTAGCTGTATAAAGCTGTTTGAGGGAAGCGAGGGCATCGCTGAAAAATGTCCATCAGTGCTGCTTGTGGAGAAGTCATTCAGAAACCCTACCTCTGCTAGTCCCAGACAACTAACAGCTGCAAGCTCTGAGAAGGTCCAATACATTACTCGTTCTTTGAAGGTAAGTTTTATCACTTACTTGATATAAGCACGACGGAAACAGTTTATCAGAACTTTTTTAGAACACAAAAGAATACACGAACAACTAGGGGCACTTACAATATCTGTTTGTATCAGTGATTCATTTTGATACCTTTTTTACATCAACTAAAAGTCACCATATTTTCTTATTGTAGTTTTACCTTCAGTGTACAGAGCCAGACTTACCAGCATTTTAGATACCATCTTCAGTGAAAAAAAAAAGTCATCACAAAATGTATGAACTCAGCACTTTATTTGATGAGTGTAAGCCCACAATTACTCCAGATTAATTTTCTGAAAGAACTGAATTCATAAATAACAAGTTAGTAGTAATTTAGAACATACATGACATAGAACTCAGGTCCATCTTGAATCTGCATCTCAGTTTTGGTTTTACAACTCGTCAAGAAAAGGAGTATTTCCCAAATTCCCACTAGCTGCCATTGATTTCTTTCCACTGACAAACTTCTTTGCAGCCTGAAAATAAATCAGGAAGATGGATATAAGGAAATACTTGCTACAAGTTGATCTTGCTGCTCATAGCTTCAAGTTATCAAAAAAACAAATCCCACCACTACTACAGTACATCAACAAGTAAACCATCTTCCTTTTGCTCTCTAAACTTGCTTGCTTCAATACAGCTCCTTGTTACTTTATAATCTAAAGAGGCATAGAAGAATGACAATTGGATATAAAAGGCATAAACTCTTTGAAAATAGTTATTCTTTCAAAAATTATTGCACTACAAGATACAGCAGATCTCTCCTTACCACTAAAGCTGTTGCTAGTTGCTACTGCAACAAACTAGAGATGACTGGGAAAAAACATTTTCTATCTCAGAATTTCTCTTTCTGATGGATTCCTTTATGAAGTTTGCTTCAAGTATAAGCAACAAGATAATCTGGAGTAGCACTGCAGTTACATCTATTTATCAGTGAAAGGCACTGTTTTATTAAGCACACCACATTCTCAGGAATACAAGAATGAGAATATGAGGACTCATGAATCCTAAAAGCTTTGACACAGAAGTACCTGCTGTGGAACTAGCATCAAGTTTTCCATGACTCCTAGTTGACAGTTTTGGTAAATTTAAGTGAAGTAGATGAGAATTTTACATACTCCCAGCTACATTGTTTTTATATTGTATTGGATTAAAGGCTCTTCTGTTAATAAAGTAAGTAAAAACATCAAAAGATAGCCAGATGAGATTTGTAAATTAGTTGGGTTTTTTTAAGCACACACACATATACTATCTTTTTATAAAAGCACATACAAATGAGCAGCAGTTTTGTTTAAAAAGAAACAACTTACACAGGGATTAAGGAACACCTGTAGATGCAGACCCATACTTACATTCACAACATCAGCAGTGGTTACAGAGTCGATTTTTTGAGCAACAACAGATGGTGATGTGTGTGTGCCAGAAATCAACGACTCAGAGCCAATTTCATTCAGCAACCCTTCTGCTGTCTCCACTGACATTAAATAGGTGGCTTTCAGCTGGTTTCTGCCATCAAACAAAACATTAAGGATGAGTAAGCATCTAAGTCCTTTTATTGCCTTTCCCATCGCCCTCATAAGTGAAAAGAGTTCTTGGTGGTTTTTAACATTTCAAAATTCCTCTCCATTTTGAAAGGTTTTCAAGTATGGAAGGGTTCTGTAGTTAGGAAACAGGCACCACAAACAGTCCAAGCACAAAAGTGACACGGTACTCAAACAACTACTGCCTTGGAACGATCAGCCACCCCACACACTCAGAAGATCTCTAGCTCTAAATTTGTTTCTGTTTGAAGTAACTAATGCAGGTAACCCAGGAACTAGACAAATTATCAAATTTAAAAGTTAGGTTTAAAATTGATTCTTGTTTCTCATCAAGAACAGACATATGCAGAACAACTCTGTTGAAAGCAACAAAGAAACAATGAATGTAAATGGTTAGGCTCCTTCTGCAATAGTTCCATGTTCTGTTAGAAGACAGCAAGTTTACACTGGTCTTCCTGTTTCACTCGGTCTCACTGGTACATATGAAAACCCTATGTTTATAAGCTAGTCCTTCCATTCTTTTTTAAAACACAAAATGGTAATCATATTCTATTGAAATAAATAATTTTTTAAGTGTATTGGTATTTTTGACTGAACTGAAGACCCTGCAGATACCACTGAGCTTAAATGTTTTTTTTTTTTTGGGGTGGTGTTTTTTGGTCACTAAAGAAAAAAAAGAGCAATACAGAAAATATGTGAAGCCATTCCAGAAGGGTAACTCAAAAAAAAAAAAAAAAAAAAAAAAGCCACAGAACTGTGTGCAACTCCTTAGTACTAGGCAGCTTCATTAGAAAAAAAAAGATAACCCAAAAACCCAAAATCCACTACAAAACAATAACCACCACATGAAACTAACAACACCAAAAAGAAAGGTCTAAAATTCACCACTTAGCTAGTAGTGACTAAGGCACAACAAGTCATGTCTAGGTTTTAATGTTTTGTGTAATCAAGCTTTACCTGTAGTCTTGTAAGTATTTTATATATACAACAGATAATATTTTCATTTTGCTGCTTGAGTGAATCTGAACTATATTTTATATTTTTAATATCTGAACTCTATTGCAGAACTATAGTTTTAAAGGCTCAGTGCAGTTCAACACTACTTGGAGACAAAGCACCAACTAATGTGCACAACTCTCTATAAAACAGAAACTCTAAAGTTCTGTTGGTATTACTGCATCCCTAATAGTAATTTTTGCCCATCTCAAATATTCCTAAGGGCACGTATTTTAAGCACTTGGATATAACATCATTAATTCAGTGCTTTAAACTTGCAGACCGTCATTCTTTGAAGATGCAGAAAACTGGTCGATACAGTTGTTTTGGGAATTGCTGCAGTGTGACTGTAAAGGGAATTACCTAAATAATGCAATTTAGGATTCTAATTTAAATACATTTTAATACTACAGAGTATGATTAGAATGACAGCATCTGCTGATACTTGCCAATTTCTAACATTGGAACATTTTTCAGAGAAGATTAACACTTATCTAACACGTTTTCATTAGGAAATACCACGAGCAAAGAATTAGTATAGCTTTGAAATAAAGCATATTGACAGTGCTTCAGTTTTAATGCAGGAAAGTGAGTGGTTCCCCACTGAGCTAATTACAGGACAGCAGTAAACTTCACTGTACAGAATAATCCAAGTGTTTGACATATAGCTATGTGTTAAGAAACTTCTCTTCACAATACACAAGACAGCTCTTCATGCACTTACTTCGCCTTTGTGACATCGTCATCAGTGACACTGCCCTGAGCAACTGCCTTTATCTGGTTCAAAGCAGCTTTAATAACCTAAGGAAAAATAAAGCATTGAAGACTTCTTCCCACATGAATTTTCAACATGTTATTTCTATTATCTGGCATCTTAGAAACTTCAGGGGAGAGCAGTTGACAGTGTTGGGACTGTCTGCTTCAACTCTGAAGAGCTTTACAACAAAATTAAAACCATTGTTATACACATCCACGTGTGACACAAAAACCAGTGTAGATTTAAATTGCAACACCAGATTAATTTCTGTGGTCTCAACTTTTTTCATAAGAGTAGCAAGTCCTGTCAGCTTCAAGAGCCAGCCTGTTCCTCACGATATACTTAGGCGTACCCATGTAAATCAGCAATTACAGGCAGAAATTCAAGGTGTGTTACTAGCTCTAGCTGCTCCTAGGCCTCTGCCCTTCCCAGAAAGCAAAGCTTGTTCCCAGCTTACAGAGCTAAGTCATAACTGAACATGCAGCATTGTTATACAAGAAACCAGTTGAACTGACTTTTTTTAGATCAATCAGTCATTATCTCAAATCAAAACACTAGTTTGGGGGTTACATTGTTAATACTTGAATTCTAATCTGCAACTCACCTCACCAGCATTTGAAGCCTGGGATATGGTATAAAACCCAAAGAGCCCAGAATCAGAGTAATTAACATTGAACGCGGAAGCCTGCAAAACAAACACTGTCATCAACTGTTTCAAGTACTACAACAACTTGACATCAACCAGAGGAAAACAATTACTATAAGGATCTAAAATACTGTAATTCAGGAAGCTAAACTATCTGTGCAAAGATCAGGTTGGAAGGCCTTCTCTGAAATATTGTAACTTGTGCAAAAATGAACTAATTAAGATTCTAGCTGGAGGCAGTAGCTTCTCAAAGGATAACATGCATTTTACTTAAAGTATGAGAGTCCAGTAATCCGTTGAACTTACGTCAAATGGCTGGGTAGTTGCTTTAGCAATACCCTGGGACAATTTGCTGGTAACGTTGCTTCCTCTCTTGATAAGGGGTCCGGCACCTAAAACATGCTGAAGAACACCGAATGCATTTGCTTCTGCACTCCCAACAGCAGCTCCTTCTGTTACAATAGCAGCATGGACAAGGCTATCACCATTCTGTTCCCTGATTTCTCCTAAAAATACAACAACAGAATGAGAGGCAATGCAGCACTCAGAAACCATTGTACATTCAGAGGTACACAAAAGAAACATATCTAGCCAGGATTTAGGTTCACGAGAGAGAAGACAGGGTGTGAAGTTACGTGTCCACTCAGGAACACAGCAAGACACAGTTAGTAGGCTTTAGGTCACACTAAAACTTCCCTTACATTCAAAAATTTTCTTGCAAGCACAAAATCAAGTACCTTATTGTAGCTTATTTGAACCTGATCCTAAACCGTACGCAGTATGATATGATAAAACTCAAGAGTCTCCAGATAACAAATATCCAGAAAAGCAGTGTACCTTCTGTTCGTAATATTTCTCCTGTCTTACAGAAACTGAAGTTATTCCAGTAAAATATTAAATTTTGGAAACTTTATTTTCCCCTCCATCTGTTTAGAGTGATCTGATACTCCAACTAAAGACAACGTATTTGTGTTAGTACTAGATACTGCTCCGAAAGAGCCAAGCATTCCTTTGTCTTTTATGAAAGATTTAGGACATTCTAACAGATCTTCCCTAAAAAGAAAGCCTACCACCACTTCTAGACAGTCCTTCATCTACTCTTAAGAGAATCTTCCCAAAAACACCAAGAGAAACCATATGCCAGCTTGTTTTTCACTTTATGGAATAAATTATCTTGCAGGTAAAGCTTTGTTGGAGATATGGGTTCAGTTTTATTGCAGAGCTTTGCATGTTGGGGAATAATCCTCTCCTCCTTTCGATGGGAGATGCCTCCGAACTGTCACTTCCTGTGTACAGCATTTGGTACAACCATATAGTTTTCAGTTGCAACTTACCCTACGTTTATAACAAACAGAAAATCAGTCATTGATAACAGATACAACAGACATGCTCACCCCCTTTGTAGACAGCCTTTGCACTAGAAATGCCAGCTCCGCCTCGGATGTTGAGAAAGTGCTCCGCAATTTGCTTTAGCTCAGAGTGCTTTACACCTGCAATAAAATAGTAATGGCACTGAAAAGCTGTGGCACTTACACAAAACTGTTAGGTGCACCATAACATTCCACTTCTACAGAGAATTCAAATTTCTACAGTAGTTGTCTCTTACAAATTGCAGTGTCCCTTGGAGAACATACATACCTATTCCTATGAGAGCCATTCTTGAACTTGTGAAATTGTTCTGTACAAAATGGTGAAGCTGCAACAGTAAATTCACATTTTAGGGTATTTTGTGTAACAAATAAAAATAACAAGTGTGCTTCTGACATCAGCCTTATACTTAATGCAGCAAACTCCAATGCTTCCAAAAGGAACTGTCTATAGAACAGCATTTGATGCACTTTCCAGTGACAACTACAAAACCCTTTTACACAAGAACACTTACCTTTCATTGCCAGCATTCCTACACACAGAAAGCCACTGACATGAACCACCTCGCTAAATGTGAATGTGAGTTCTCTAACAATACTAAAAGCTGCATGTTAATTATTTTAACACCAAACTAATATGATAGTAACTACTGACTGCATATTTACTAGATTTTCTCTCTCATCTAACCTTGATAAAGAAACTGAAGCAGAATTTTAACAATGTAAATAATCCTACCTGCTCCGAAGTTATTTTTCCAATGCTGTAATCTGGACAATACAAGGGGTTTGCCAGAGCATTCTTGTAAGCAGCAGCGTGCAAGTTTTCCAGCACTCCTGACAAGCACAAAGTTGCAGTGATAACGATTAATATAAGAGGCACTTTTATTTAAGATTATGAATGAAACTAAATGTTACTCCAGTGAAACAGAGCTGTGGTCCACTTTAAGAACTGCAAGATCTGCAAAAGCAGGTCTGGAATAATCCAATACACATGGAAGTTTCATCAAAATCCTTGGGCAACAGAATTTGGTCTGAGACCTTCCAGGTTTTTGTAACTTATTAAAAAAAAATTCAAATAACCTGCATATGCTCAACATTCTTTATCCTCAACAGCAAGCTATAAATGTCATCAGTGTTTAGGGGACGGGGAGCAGTAGAAAACAGTAACAAAACCCAAGATCCTCTTAATTAGTTTCAGAATCATCTATCATCTTCACTGTAAGCACCTCTTATTCTTCAGCTTGAGAAAGAACAGGCTCTTTATAATACTATTTGTAGCTTTGTGTGGTGTCTCATCTATTTCCCTATTCAGATGAAGAGTGCTAGTGTCTTCAGCTCCCTTGTCATTAGCTTTGTCTTGCATCCTACTCATTCCTGTTGGATATTCTCAAAATGTTCTCAAGAGAAAGATGACACTCTTTTCTTCATAGTTCTGATTCTGAACATAACTGTAATGAAAATATTTAATTACTATGCAACCAATCTATAGTTGATACAAGTTTAGAAAACAAAGATTGTTCTTGATTCTGATTTTAAAAAATAGCAGCACTTCAATATAAGCCAGAGACTTTCCAAAGCCCAACACTGTGGTGTCATCTTCAATGGGTTATGAAGACGAGCACACTTCACAGTGTAGTACAACTGTTTATTGTGCAAGAACTATCTGGGTGAACTTGGATGACTAGAGTTAAGTAACACAAGATATACTGGAATAGGTTTGGTTTGGCTGAGGCTTTGCATTTGCTTTTTTTTTTTTTAATTCCATGAACCTAAATTTATAAATCTAAAACTGGAATTCATGTTTAGTGTAATGAAAATACAAAATTTTTATACCAAAATGACTATACAAATTCAAGAAGTCTATTGTAGAATAGTGTTTCCACATTGATGAGTAATACCTAAATATTGTTTTTAGAACACAAGCTGCTTCAACAATACGGTCAACAACAGTTCTGACTTGCACATTCTTTGGCTGTATTACAAAAAATTTAAGAAGTTAAAATGGAAGCTGTCAAGGAGCAAGGTGGAAGCTGTCTTCAGCATCTTACTGGCTAAACATTGTTATGCACAGGCTGGAAAGACTTGTGGGGAAAGACCATACCTATCAATGGGGAAAAGCTGAAAAATTAAATGGCCGTGTGACAGAGCAAAAGGAAAACTATTTTTTCCAAAGTTTTTCATTTTAAAGACATTCCCATGAAGCCAATGCAGTGGATCAGAAAGCACACTTACCAACTTGAGGATTCTGAAATGCGATTGCTTTGTCAACTTTTAATTGTGGCTGAAGATCACTTACTTCCCATGGTCTGAACTCTGGTGCTGTGGTGACATTAAGAAGGTACTCCATTACTGTATCACTAGACAAGAAAGGTCACACGGGTGTTAAACACAACAGAAGTAGCCCATGTTTCTTTGGAAGTTGAAAGCAATTCAAACTAATCTGTAAGCAACGCAATAGCCACAACATATTTCATTGAGCCAGAGCAGTAACTAGCACTGCTGTACAAAGTATGAGAATTCAGCTTCAGGTCTGTAACATTTATATGCTCAGTAACATGATCAATAAGCTGAATATTCATAGGGTAATTTGTTGACTTATTACAAATACATGAAAATAGGTATTACTTCTATGATAGGTGTCTGCTACAGAGAAGTTTATAAAGAATGCAGTAATTCATTTTACAGTGTACCTAGATACCTACACGTAGTCACGCAGGCATTCGACAGAGTATGTCATTTTCTCTCTTGTCGAGTACACACTGCATGAGAAAAAAACAAAATTCATTTCAGCAGAGAACAGAGAATTGGATTTTCACATATATTCCCCACTGAATTTGTCAGCAAGATGATGACTAGAATATCTGTTCACCTTAAATCTGACTGAGATGACTGCTTAAAGGAGTGATAATATACAAACAGCAGAAACAGATGTAACAAACTCCTATCTTAAGTATTCAAGTAACAACAAGTACCTTAAATTCTGAGGGTCACAAAACACCACAACAATTCAAGGTAAAACAACAAATAATGCTGAATAGCAACATTTGAAGAAAAACGTGTTTATGTATTAAACATGGCAATTCAGAAGTTATTCTCTTTCAGCAGAAAACATATTTGGTCTTTTCCACTTGCTCCAAAATATTTGTGATTAAGTGGAGTAAAAAAGCATAGAGTCTCACAGTATTTAAAACACTGCTTTTAACCAAATTCTATATAAAATATTTTGCTGGATGATTTCAAGACACACCGCAAGAAAGCAGGCACATTGTGATCCACCTTATTTCTCTTAGGCTTGTTTTCTAGGCTTTAAACTCTCAAATCATGAAAGCTAACTACTGTCTGAATTGTTCCAAAGTTGCAGTATGATGAGTGGTATCTGTTAACAAAAGATGGAGGGAAAAAAAAAAACATATCTACTGACTTCAGAAAGTGTAATCTTGAAGTCTGAAACGGCAGAAAGAACATTAATCATTCTGGACATATTAAATTTCTTTTAGGTACACATTTATATTCTTTTAACTGAAAGGTGTTCATAAAATCCAAATCATGGGTGCTCTCTCAAACCTTAATGGAAGGAGAAGTACAAAAGACATTCCCTGTCAATGTTCACCCTTTAAGTACCATCACCACGTGGAGCTTATCTGCCCACACACTGTTACACTTGTTGCTTTAAGTTTCTTTTAGTCATTCAGCTTCTCTGCATCTTACCAAAACAGGTATCTTTATATGTAGTTACAAACCTTAGGCTGGCCCCAACAGCTTCAATGCCACGAGTAATCCGGAAAGAAGACGCCCCTTTGGTAGTCTGGTTAAAAAAAAAAAAAAAAAAAAAAAAAAAAAAAAAAAGGCAACAACTTAAAATTTTAGTTATTTTAAGAACAGACTTGCCTGAGGTTGTTCAGTGCTCAGGGAAAGTCCCAACAGCATCTGTTTATTCATTTATGCAGAAGCCATTTTGAAAAGTTGATCCAGGTTACTGCATCCATACTCCCCATCGTTTCTGTCATCCCCCCTGACTCTGCCGTAGATGCTCACATATTTGCTTCCCAGCCCTGTTCTAGAATGACTCAGGTTTGTCTAAACATCTAAAAGGATCCTGAATTAGCTCAGCCTGACAAGACCAGGGCAAGGAATGTCTACATATACTATTATGCTGACAGCTGTCTTGAGGAAACTAACTTCAGGCAGCACTTGGGAAGGAGGTAATAAGCATCTGGGAATGTTTGCCTGAAACTGAACCATCCAGCAGCAATCAAAGACGTGCTGGTGGCGCTGTGAGGCTCTAATTGTCACAGCTTAGCTGCTGTTCCAGAGGATGTGTTTACATCTTCAGCTAGAGCCAGATAGCAAGGGAGATACAGGGGAACGGCCACAGGGGGCCCAGCCCAATTCTGTACCTGACAGCAGCAGCAGGACAGGCTGTTTCAGTCGAACATCCCACAACCCATTCCATGGTACTCCTGCAGTACCATAGGAGTTACTCCTCATAGCAACTGTTTAATGACCTGCTATCAACAAACTTGACATTATTTTTTGAACCTGCTGATATATCATCTGCCCCCACAGTATTTAGCATAACTTAAGCCAAACATAGTATAGGAAGGGAAAAAAAAGAGGTTAAAATATCTTGACGGCAGTAGTAAAACAAACTATGCAGAAATATTCCATACACATGCAAAACTGCTATCAGCCACCCAAATGAACTTTTGCTGCAGCTTAAACATCAGTTACATGCATAGCTTGATACAGATTTTTTTTATATATATATAAAGACACCACTAGAGAGCACAATTCTAAATAAATATCACAGCCTGTCTTCCAGGTATTAATTTCTCCTGCACTTGAACCATGTAATGAAGAATCAATGTACACCATCTTCCACTTTATAAGTTCTCTAACATTAAATTTTACCGTACAGTTTCTTTTTGCAATCACAAACATTCCACCACTTCATCCATGGTCAACATAACAACAAAGAGAACGAAAACCTACCAAATTTGATGCCAGACGAAGTAAATGAGCAGTTCCTAAGTTACTGGTAGTTTCGTATCTGCTGCCTGCTTTAATAAACACACCAATTCTTGAAGCTGGAGAAAAATTTTCCAGAGATGCAATAACTAAGCCATTTGGTAATTTGGTAATCTGTATTAAAAAGAAAAACTTGTTTTAGTCATCTACTGGAAGTACTGTCACAATTCTGCTTTGAGTTTTAAAAGGTGAATAAAAAGGATAAGAGAAAAATATTCTAGTATTCATACCAACCTCAAGATCCTCAGACTCTGGAGATAGTTTTACTCGTTCTGCAGTTGCTGAGGGTGCAACTTTAGGAGCTACTTTAAGTGAATAAAGTCTCTTCTGGAGGACAAAGCATAAGAGAATGGAATTCCTGAATTAGTTCATTACATGTTCCATACATACTGGAAAAGCAGCTAATTTTGAAGTAGAAATACAACAGAGGATGAACAACTTCAAATCCCAGAGTATAAAGGTGATTCCCTTGTAAGTCCTGTAATAATTTCTTTACATCACTGTTGGAACCTTTGCAATAACTTGCATGAGGTCTCTGTAAGTTCAGGAAATAGTACTGTAAGAAAGCTTTTCCTGCCCCCCTGCCCTAACCTCCCTTCTCCCCCCTTTTGCTGTTGTGTAGTGGAAATCTCTACTGATACTATATAGCCTATAGGGCCACTGAATAGCAATTAACCAAACAAGCCGCTAACAGTGATCCACACAGGCAAAACACAACTTTGGAGATAACTTTCTCATTCAATAGGTGTAGGCAGTTCAGCTCCTAAAGAGTCATCTCTCAGAACAGCAACCTATCTACCCTGACTGCTGCACACACGGCATCTGAATGAAATCTGAAATGCTACTCCCTTCCACCCTTTTTGGAGGTTTCTTTACTTGTAAAACAAAAGTATTTATTACTTTTCACATTAAAAAAATCCCACTTAATTCCCACACACCTTACAGTAAAAACAGAGAAACAAAAGCAGTATTAGTTGTAAGGATACCAATAACTTAATTCCCCTTGCTTTGCCACATACTCTATTCTATGTATTTTGTATCTAGGAAACGCTTTCTTCTCCCACTATAGGTTTGTTAAGACACCTAATTTTAGCGTCTAAAACTGACCAAACCACACTGTGACTGAGCAGTAATCTGTCACTCTCCTCGAGGAAGCATTTACAGCAGAGACCTCACACAAGCTATATCCCCGCTCGGGGGCATGTCTGTAGCTGACCCAGCGCTCTGCCCCCTGCACGCTCCTTGACGACTCGAGCCCCACTTGCCAAGGGCAGCACCTCGCCACGACCAGCTGAAGCGACCCCAGTGAGACAGGGCCCCCCAGCGAACGCTCCTCCCCTCCCTCCGGCCCCACGCAAAGCCCCGGGTGAAGGCGCAGGGAGCGCCTCGCCCCAGCCAGAGCTCGCG